TATTCATAGATAGAGGTGTTCTATGCATGCAAAATTGCTTTTATGGGAGGACTGATGTGGGTGCACAGTTTTGGCCAGAAAACCTTGTTCAATGGGAACATAAGCTACAAACATTTTGGCAAAAGATGAAAGTTTATGAACAAACAACCATTTATATTGTTACAATAAATTAGACTATGTTGAGAAACCAGTTGCTTTCGTTAATGACCAGACATTTTGTTAGTGAACACTTCCCAGACTTTACTAGCCCTGCTAAGAATTAATCACTCCACTTGCTCCTGGTCTGAAACCCCAAAGTGCTTTGTTGATGTTACAGTGCTTACTGCCTTGTATGTTAGATTAGTGAATGTATATTTGCCTCTTCTGCCACTGTATGAGCTTCTTGCTTGCTAGGACAAGGCTATATTCCTCAGAGCAGAGGAGGGAGTTGAATCATGCGGCCATTTATTCTCAAATCCTCTTCACCAAGTGGAACAAAACAGAACAGCGAAAGACCACTGCACATGGAAGCAGGAGGTCTGGATTTGGGTTCTAGATCTCTAGATCTATTACTAACTGGAGGTATGGATATAGTCAGGAAAATTGTCTTCCTTAGGTGCTTCCTTGATAGCACCTATAAAGGTTGAGATCTGTTGGATCTAGATCAGGGGATTCTCAATCATTACTATGCATAAAGTCAACTGGGAGAGTTGCTTTGCAATACAGATGCTTAGTTCCATCTCATGATATTTTTACTGTTTTTTGAAATTGATCTAGTATTTTTCATTAAATAATGTAAACTTTCTTAGTCTACATCTAATAAAACTCCCACCGGCATACAAATACATTGAATGATATTAGCAGCAGAATCTTTAAAGAAAGTAACCATATACAACTATTAAACCATTTTTTTCATTACTTATTATTTCATGCTGTTTGTCACCATTGTCATGATAATCAGCATCACCCTACATTGCTGAACACCCATTATGAACCATATGGCATAAACATTTTTCCTACTCGTAAGGAACATACTTTCTCTATACGCATATGAAATTAATGTCTGAACAAAGTGGCTTAAACAAGGCAGAAGTTTATTTCTTTCTCACTTAAATCTATAGTTACACGTATCATGGCTGGTACAGATGCTTGCCAAATTCATTAGGGATGCAGGCCCCTTCCAGCTGTCTGCTCTGCTGCATTTTAGAAGAGGCTCCAGTTTGGCTGCTAAATGCCCACCTATCATTTTTTAATTCCAGGCAGCAGGAAAGAAAATAACCAAGAGAGAAAAACAAGGGAACGTCCACCCCTCCTTTTAAATTTTTTAACCAACCCCCTCTTTTTTTTTTTTTAACCCAATTTGTTGAGCTATGATTACATTTAAAAAGCTGTCCATGTTTAAGGTACGCATCTCAGTGAACCTGGGGATAAGTATACATCATGAACACCACTAACCTTAAGATTATAAACACATCCTTCACCTCCCAAAGTCCCTCCCATTATTATTATTATTATTATTATTATTATTATTACTGGTAAGAAATTTTGGTAAGAACACAAAATCCAGCCTTTTAGCAAATTTTAAGTATGCAAGAGAGTATTCTTAGCTTTAAGCACCATGCTGTAAATGAGACCACCAGAACTTACTTATATGGTATATCTGAAACTTTGTGCTCTAACCACATCTACATATTTCCCCTGCACCACAGCCCCTGGCAGCCACCATTCTACTCTCTGCTTTTGTGAGTTTGTTTATTTTAGATTTCAAATGCAAGTGAAATCATATAGTAATTGTCATTCTGTGGCTGGCCTATTTCATATAACGTAATGCCCTCGAAGTCCACCCATGTTGTCACAAATGACAGGGTTTCATTATTATGTAACACTGAATAATATTCCAGTGCATATATGTATTAACCATTTATCCTGATACTCTCCCTCCACCTGCCTCCCAACAGGCCGCAGTGTGTGTTTTTCCCCTCTCAGTATCCATGTGTTCTCATTGTTCTGCTTCCACTTGTGAGAACATGCACTGTTTGATTTTCTATTCCCGGGTTAGTTTGCTGAGGATAATGGCTTCCAGCTCCATCTATGTCCCTGCAAAGGACATGATCTCATTCCCTTTTATGGCTGCATAGTATTTCATGGTGTATATGTACCACATTTTCTTTATCCAGTCTATCATTGATGGACATTTGGGTTGATTCCATGTCTTTGCTATTGTGACTAGTGCTGCAATGAACATGTGTGTTCATGTATCTTTATAACAGAATGATTTATATTCCTTTGGGTATATACATAGTAATGAGATTGCTGGGTCAAGTGATATTTCTGGTTCTAGGTCTTTGAGGAATCACCATACTGTCTTCCACAATGGTTGAACTAATTTACATTCCACCAACAGTGTAAAAGTGTTCCTATATCTCAACAGCCTCATCAGCAGGTAGTTTTATTTAAAAATTTTTTGAGAAACCTTCATACTATTATCCAAAATGGCCATAGTAGTTTGTATTTCCACCACGAATATACAAGGGTTATCTTTTATCCACATCCTCACTAATACTTGCTATTCATCTTTTCGATAACAGCTATTGTAAGAGGTGTCAGGTGACATTTCATGGTGGTTTTTATTTGCATCACCCTGACAATTAGAGGTGGTAAGAATTTTGTCATGTATTTGTTGGCCGTTTGTATCTCTTCTTCTGGGAAATGTCTATTCAGATCTTCACCTATTTAAAAAAAATTTTCAACTTTTATTTTAGATTCAGTGAATGCATGTGCAGGGTTTTACATTGGCACATTGTGTGATGCTGAGGCTTGGAGTATGAATGATCTTGTAACCCAGGTAGAAAGCATAGTATTTCATGGTGTATATGTTTTTCAGGTTTTGGTCCCCACCTTCCCTTCCCCTTCTTGTAGTTCCCAGTATCCGTTGTTCCCATCTTTACATCCATGTATAATCAGCGCTTTGTTCTTACTTATAACTAAGAACATATGGTATTTGGTTTTTTCTTCCTGCATTATTTTAGAATAGTGGCCTCTAGCTGCATCCATGTTGGTGCAAAGGACATAATTTTTTAAATGGTTGCATAGTATTCCATGGTGTATATATACTACATTTTCTCTATCCAATGATAGAGAAAATATTCATGTCTTTGCTATTGCAAATAATGCTATAATAAATATATGAGTGCACGTGTTTTTATGGTATTTTCTTTTGGATACAAGGGTCAGTCCCCATGGCTGCTGTCAAGGGCTAGCATTGAGTGCCTGCAGCTTTTCCAGGCTCAGGGTGAAAGCCATCAGTGGATCTATCATTTTGGCGTCTGGAGGATGGTGGCCGTCTTCTCAGAGCTCCACTAGGCAGTGCCCCAGTGAGGACTCTGTGGGGGCTCCTACCCCATATTCTCCCTCTGCACTGCTGTAGTAGATATTTGCCATGTGGTCTCCACCCCAGCAGGCTTCTACTGGACATACAGGCTTTTCCATACATCTTTTGAAATCCAGGTGAAGGCTTCTGATATGGTTTGGCTCTGTGTCCCCGCCCAAATCTCACCTCAAATTGTACTCCCACAATTCCCACATGTTGTGGGGGACCCAGTGGGAAATAATTGAATCATGGGGGCAGTTTCTCCCATATAGTTCTTGTGGTCGTGAATAAGTCTTACGAGTTCTGATGGTTTGATGAGGCGAAACCAGTTTTGCTTGGCTCTCATTCTCTCACTTGCCTGCTGTGATGTAAGACATGCCTTTCGCCTTCTGCCTCCCCCCAGCCATGTGGAACTGTAAGTCCAAATAAACTTCTTTCTTTTGTAAATTGCCCAGTCTCAGGTATGTCTTTATCAGCAGCGCACTCCTGTACTTTGTGCAACTGCAGGTTTAATATCCCATGGAAATTGCCAAGGCTTAAGGTTTGCACCCTCAAAGCAGTGACCCAAACTGTGTCTGGGGCCTTTTTAGCCATGGCTGGAGCTGGAGTGGTTGGGAGGTAGAATGCTGTGAGCACTGTCCTGCGCTTGCCCGAGGTGGTGCAGCCCTAGGCCTAGCCCACAAAACCAGTCTTCCCTTATAGGCCTCCAGACCTTTGAAGGGAGGGGCTGCCACCAGCCAAGGTCTCTGAAATGCCTTTCAGGCCCTTTCTTCATTGTCTTCTATTAGCATCTGCTTTCCTTTTAGTTATGCAAATGTCTTCAGCCTGCTTGAATTTCAGAGGATACCAATGGCCTTACAAGTACCATATGACCCCTAACACTTCCTGACTTCATTTCTGCAATATATTTTATTTTTTTACGTCATCATGAACATTGAAACTTTTTATATCTATTCACTTTCCATTTGTTTTCAAGTCCAGTTTACTTCCAAATAATTTTAGAATATAGAGTCTCCATAAGACTCTAGTTTGTCTGGTTTCTTGCTGTACCCCATGACTGCGAATGCTTTCTAGTACATATAATACACTCAAAAGTACTTATGAAGCCGGATGCGGTGGCCCACGCCTGTAATCCCAGCACTTTGGGAGGCCAAGGTGGGTGGATCACGAGGTCAGGAGATTGAGACCACCCTGGCTAACACGGGTGAAACCCCGTCTCTACTAAAAAAAATACAAAAAAATAGCCGGACGTGGTGTCGGGCACCTGTAGTCCCAGCTACTCAGGAGGCTGAGGCAGGAGAATGGCGTGAACTCGGGAAGTGGAGCTTGCAGAGAGCCGAGATCTCACCACTGCGCTCTAGCCTGGCCAACAGAGCAAGACTCCATCTCAAAAAAAAAAAAAAGTACTTATGAATGAAAAAAGGAATGAATCTTCCTATTTTTCCTTCAACATAGCCTTAACTTTTTGGTTTCCAACTTTATGTGGGGTTTTCAGTAGCTGTCTCAAAAATCCAATCAAATTGAACCAGGTGTGTCTCCAGAATGCAGTTTTGATTAGGTTCAGTATCTGTGCAATCAGGGCATGTCTCTTGGAATGTAGTGCTGATTAGGTTTATTGTTTTTTCCTGTATAAGGGGAAGCCAATCAGAGGATGCGTTTTCCCAGAGAAGGAGCATCAGAAGAGTTTAAGACCTTGGGGAAAGAGAGTCTTGCTGCTTGCTTGTGGGACTTGCCTTGGAAGGTAGATAAGTTCACAGCATCCTCCAACTTTTTATTTTTGGTGAGTTCTCCGAGCACTGAGATGTGAACTGGCCTCATTCCCTTACAATGATACTGTTTCCAGTAGAAGAGATTCGAGTTACTGGCAGCATATCTGCATGGGTCCATAAGCAACTTCAGTCCTTGCCTCCTCAGAAGAAAGAATTCGACTGAGGGGCATACAGCGGAAAAAGAGACTAAGTTTCAGAGCAGGAGTGGAAGTTTATTTAAAAAGGCTTTAGAACAGAAAGGAAAGGAAAATTCTCCTGGAAGAGACCCAAGTGGATGCCTGAAGGTCCAAGAGAGAAAAGAGAAGGGCCTTTAACCTTGATCCTGGGATGGGCTTGCCTCTTTCCCACGATTCTTCCTTTAGGGAGAGTTTCCGGCATGCACAGTGCTTTCCTTACCCTTTGGAATTGGCATGCACGGTGTGTTTAGGGAGTTATATGCGTGTCCGTCTGAGGCTTTCTTTCCTTTTCCAGTGGAGTGTGTCCCCGGAAGATTATACTTTGCCATTTTTGTCTCTTAACATGCATGCCCAAGAAGTTGCTTCTTCCTGGGGTCTGCATTTAATTAACATTTTTGATGTTAACAGGTGTAGACCACCAGGAAATGGCCTGTCTCTGGTGCTGCCTAATTGTCATTGTTAGAGAGGCAAAGTGATCATTAACAGGCCATCACCTGACATTTCTAGTGGGTAGGGGGAGAGCCCTCTCCTGCCCTGCTCCTGCTCTTCTACCTGTAACAAGACAAGCCTTGAATAGCATTAGACATGTGTCCCATCAAGGCAGCATCTCATTAGTAAATTTTACTGTGTGAATTGTTACTTCACATTCTCATATTCTGTGTTCACTATTTGTGTGCCTTTTCCATTTTTGTTTTGACCATATCTCATTATTTTAACTGCCTTCTCCAAGATTCTAGATCTGCATTGACCAATAGAGTAACTACTAGTCACATGTGGCTATAAATTGTAAATTAATTATAATTAAATAACTAAATGGCATATCCTTAGTAGTAATAGCCAAATTCGTGGCCAAACTAGAAATTCTGTAACTACATATGTGTGGTAGTTACTGCATTGGACAATGTAGATACAGAGCATTTGTTTCATCACAGAAAATCATGTGGGGCATGTTGGCTGCCACTTATTTTTAATTTATTTTTATTTTTTATTTCTTTGAGACAGAGTTTTGCTCTTGTTGCCCAGGCTGCAGTGCAATGGCATGATCTCAGCTCACCGCAACCTCCGCCTCCCAGGTTCAAGCGATTCTCCTGCCTAAGCCTCCCTAGTAGCTGGGATTACAGGCTTGTGCCACCACGCCCGCCTGTTTTTTTGTTTTTTTTTTGTTTTTTTTCTATTTTTAGTAGAGACAGGGTTTCTCCATGTTGGTCAGGCTGGTCTCAAACTCCTGACCTCAGGTGATCCGCCTGCCTCCGCCTCCCGAAGTGCTGGATTACAGTTATGAGCCACTGCGCCTGGCCTTATTTTTAAATTCTATTTGTGTGGTTTATAGTTAAATTATATTCTGCTTCTCTATATTCATTTCCTTTCACAGATTTTCTCAGGCAATTTTTAAATTTCATTCATTTACCTTCTTGAGGAAAGTACTTAGATCATTTTTTTTAAATAATGTACAGCAAATAATTTTTCCACGGATATTGTTTTAGCTTTATTGTGTTGATACTTTTACATACTATATTCAGGTATTATTATTTTTCATAACTTACTTTAAAAATTGTGCCAAGTTTATTTAAAAGTGATTTCTCCTTTGATTTTCAGAAGTCAGATTGTGTCTTCCATTGCTGTTATTTTAGTTTAATTTTATTTTATTATATGTAAATATGTTGCATATTCCTTTTTTAAAAATATGAGATTTTTTCTCTCTCTGGTTATACAAACTTTGTATGAAGTGTTTATTATGCACTTTAAAAATAAATATTTTGTTTCAGGGCATGGTGCTTTCACACATGCAACCTTAGAATAATTTTAAATTCCATTCCACTTTCACCATTCCTGAACTGCTTTGAATATATTGGATGTTGGAAGCCATGAGAGGTTTTGACTTGCAATCCAGTCAAGATAATAGGATTTTCCATTTATACTGTAATCTGATATATACTCGTTTTGGTTTCATACTTTAAAAAATCTATTCTCTTTTAGTCTGTGGTGATCTTTGCTTTTCTATTTGTGCATTGCTAGAATGTCAGCTGCTGTTTCCCTAGCACCTGAGATGTTACTCAACACTGTATAGCGCTGGTGTTGAGAATTGAGAGAATCTGCTAAATAATAGCACTTTTCCAGACCGCAGTTCTGAATTAAAAGGAAGGAAAAGGACAGGCAAAAGAATATAGACATCAGCTATTTTTACTGAAGATCTGTTGGAGAACATGGTTTTGGTGTCCAGGAACTTGAGACCTAATACTGCATTCCCAATACTTCACTAAGGTGGGCCTAAATAGCCTTGAAAGGGCTAGAAAGTCACAAGTCAGCCTCTTAATTGTTATGGGTGTCCTTAAAATATTAAGGTAATATTGAGGATGCAGAATGGCTCCTTCCTCATGACTTTTTAAGAGATCTGGGCCGGGCACTGTGGCTCACGCCTGTAATCCCAGCACTTTGAGAGGCTGAGGCGGGTGGATCACCTGAGATCAGGAGTTCCAGACCAGCCTGATCAAATTGCAGAAACCCCGTCTTGACTGAAAATACAAAATTAGCCAAGCGTGGTGGCGCATGCCTGTCATCCCAGCTACTTGGAAGGCTGAGGCAGGAGAATAGCTTGAACCTGGGAGGTGGAGGTTGCAGTGAGCTGAGATTTCACCATTGCACTCCAGCCTAGGCAACAAGAGGGAAACTCTATTAAAAAACAAAAAAGAGAGAGAGAGAGAGATCTGGAGGGAGATACTAAGCTGTGCAGGCTCTCATCTTGAAGTCACCAAATACATAAGTTGTTATTCCTGCTCTGGTGAGAAGTTTGTCAATACATTTTTTCCATGAATTAATGAAAATTTTAGACCCATAACATAAGTTTTAAAAAATTTATCCTAAAGATTGCTTGTGTATGTGTGTGTTTTGAAATATATTTAATCTCTATATCTTGAAATAGTTTTTATAGATTCCACACAAGAGTCCTTTAGGAAATAAGTGTGCTTTGATTTTCTTATAATAGTTGTCCTTTTTTGTCCCTGGCACAGTCTGTATATGACCATTTAAATTACTTTTAGTTCATGTTTGGGTTATAATCACACACAAATATTCTCTAAAGTCCAAATCTTATTTTGATATTCGAGGAAGAGTTTACATGGTAATAATATTAAGGGTTACAGCTGGTTTCACTGAAGCTTTGTAGGCATTCTCTAATACCTTATTTTTTTGAAGGAATATCTGTTCTGCTTGAATTATAGACTACATAATACATGTACTGTCAGGTACATTCATGGAAGGGACAGGCAGATGGAGTCATATGTTACTGGAGCTTTGATGAACAGATGTAGGAAATAGACCAAGGAATAAGAAAAAAGTTGATATCGAAAAGTGCTTGTTGAAGTCTGTAAATGTGCATTAAAATGTGGCAGTAAAAATAGACACAGTGAAGTTTGGGAACTGGGGTCTAAATCCTGGAGTCCCCAGAATCATAGAGAACCTTGGTTAGGGGAGTAATTTTGCAAAAAAGCAAGAAGAGGCAGTGACAAGGCAGAATATAATTAAAAGTATTGCTGTGTCATTTTCTAGTTTTGTAATTTTGTCATATTTTTCAAACTCTGTTGATCATTTATTGAACTGGTAAATAAACTATAATCAGCAGGGTTATTATAAGGGTTAAAAAAGGAAATTTATGTATATCTGTAAGCACAACATCACAATTAATACAAAGTTACCCTTTTTATTTTTCCTGGACTTCATGTACAAATGGGTCAGTAAATTTTTTGAAGTTTATGACACATAAGTATCATTTGTACATAAAATATATTTAATTATTTTTTTATTTTTAGCAGGGAAATAATACATGCATGTTTTCCCCCATCTCAAACACATGCATTCATATAAACATATCCATCTATATACCTACATATCTATGTATGAATATACACATGGACATCAGTATTTCTCAGCAAATATGTATCATGATAATCAGAGATATTGCAACTCACAAAGACTAATATAAACCATGATTGCAAGAATTTTAGATACCACCTTAGTAAAATATCAGATTGAGCTGCTACATTTCTCTCAGCCCTAAGTCATTTTGTATTTCTGAGCATCTTAGAGGATTGTGACTGTATACACAGGACAGAAACACCATGACCCAGGGTACTGCTGCGAATTTCTGATGCAGGGGATTTTAAGGGCTAGATCAGCAGGATGGGAGTGTTGACCCTCCAAGTGAAATAAATTCCTGAATTGATTATCCCCATCCTAAAACAGATTTTTTTCTTTCTTTTTTTTTTTTTTTTTTTGATACAGAGTCTTGCTCTGTCGCCCTGGCTGGAGTGCAGTGTTAGGATCTCGGCTCACTGTAATTGCCTCCTGGGTTCAAGCGATTCTCCTGCTTCAGCCTCCTGAGTAGCTGGGATTACAGGCAAGCACCACCATGCCCAGCTAATTTGTGTATTTTAGTACAAATGGGGTTTCACCATTTTGGCCAGGCTGGTCTCGAACTCCTGACCTCAGGTGATCCACCTGTCTTGGCCTGCCAAAGTGCTGGGATTACAGGCAAGAGCAACTGCACTTGACCCTAAAACAGATTCTTACTTGATTGATTTCCAAGTTCCAAGGGGAAATACAAAAGTAGAAATTGAGAGAAAGTAAAAGTGGAGTCAGGCTTCAGAAGGCTGTGATTGGTGTTGGAGAAACATTGCTAGGGCATAAAGCTGGGATAATAAAATCTGATAAATCTCACAGTGTTTATCTACAGGTGGAAATCATATTCCACATGTGGGCGGAGTCAGGGATCCCTGTGTTTTAAAATCAGTGAGGGAACTGAATATCTGGACTTGTGTCAATTAACATACAAAACTCAGTGCTTTTGATGTTCTCGTTCACAAGATATCTGTGTTCCTTCTTTGTCAGAAACCATAGTCATAGGCTTCCTAATTTTGACCATGGGAAAAGAGGAGAGGCCTCTGTGTGTTTGTGTCTGTTGGTCAGGCTGTGGTGCAGGTGGTGTCACACTTCAGTGAAGGTCTGGCTTTTCATCACAGGTTGGTCTGAAAATTGTGTACAAGGCTGGTGTCTCACAAGGTTCTTTCTCCAACCTCAGCTTTTTTTAGTGCCTGAAGTGTCTGCAAGTGGAAATCCAGAAGAAGACAGAGAGAGACTGAGTTCTTGACAATGCATTCACTAGTGAGTGGGGGATGCCTCTTTCTACTGAAATGACACCCATATTGCTGGCAAATGGGCAGTTTCCTCCAGTTTGCATGGGTGTTTCATTTTTATTCTTTTTGTTTGTTTGTTTTCATGATGCAAAATCCATCCAGCCTGGGTGTTCCAAATGCAATCAGGAGACTTTCAGGTATCTGGCCTCCAATTAAGTTTTCTCAGGACTCTGGGTTGGGTATCATGTGTCAAAGATTCCTAAGTTATCAATATAATTTCTAATATTACACTACTTTATTCCAGCCCCATTCAGGCTATTTACCAAAAAAGACATGAGAGGTCTCATTTATGTATTTCTTTTTCTTCTATCCATCCTATAACCTCATAGGGAAATAATTGACCCATTAACTGTACCGTTGGCTGAAATAGACTTAGGATTGTGATGAATGCAGGCAATAGAGATGCGTGAAGAGCAGAAGATCACAGCCCAATAATGAGGCTGATGTTCTAGCAGCTGAGTTCAATAAATCCCGTGTGATAGGCCTTGAGCAAGAGCTGCACAGTGCTGAGGAAAAAGGAGAGTTTGATAAAATATATTTGTGCTTTTAAAAACTTTGCAAAAGGACAACTAAAGAAGTCATTATTATTCTTATCCCCATTCATTTTACCTTTTGATAATTAACCTTTTCACCTTCTGGTAACTGAAAGTAACATATAAAAATACAATTACTTAATTATGGTTGCACACTCAGGAGAAGGAATATAGTAGATAGAGTACAATTTAGGGTTCTGTGGAAATGCTTTATAAGGGCTGGTTAGAAAAAAAACAAACAGTAAAGAGGCCTTTTATCCTTGAACAAGCCAAGTGACAAGGTAAAGTTAAAAGAGAGGCAGTGATAACTGATGTTTGGATTGCCCAGAGAAAGTTGAGAACAGGAGGCTTCATATCACAGGAATCATCAGACTAAGACTTCCTCAGTGTAGCAGCCTCAGCGGTCTTGTGCTGCTGGACTGTCTTCAAGCCTTGTCATGAACACCTGAATGACATAACATTAGAGTGACTCTATGTATAAATTGAATCCTATATTCTGCGTAAAATTTGTGCAGTTCTGAAGAATGCTGGAGTCTGGTTCATTACTTTCTATCTTTTTAATGAATAAGGGACCAATGACCTGTATTTAATAAATATTTGCTAGATAGGAAACATGTTTTCTATTACTTCGTTAGATTATTCAAAGCACATAATAGGTCTTTTAACCATTTGATTGGTGAGAAACCTGTGGTTTATCTAGAGAAATAATTTATTTAATCATGGTCGTGTTTAAAAAGTAGTAAATCATGGTTATTTGCCTTGCGACAAATCTGTAATTTACTTGAAATTCATGGTAAATTTGTTTTATTTATGAAGGTTCAAGCAAAAATTTTATAATCAGTTATGTACAGGTGATTAACACATTACTGAAAAATATCTGGGCTATATTATGCCACACCTCATGCGATATTTCTTCATAGTAAAGTTTAGTGGATTAAGAGTGGGTACGTCTCTGTGAGTGAATCTGAAAGGCAGATACCAGCTTAGTATTGAGAATGAACTGGCTGGAACCTAAAACACTGGGAGTTCTGCATACCCAGCTCCTACCTGTGTCATCTCAGCCTTCCTCCTCTGCACGTTAAAAGGGATTCTCTGTCTAAACTAAAATGTTTGTGATGTTTTAGAAGAAAGTGACTTTTGAAGATGTAGCTATTGACTTCACCCAGGAAGAGTGGGCCATGATGGACACATCCAAGAGAAAGCTGTACAGAGATGTAATGCTGGAAAACGTCAGTCACCTGGTGTCCCTCGGTGAGTCCCTCAACATTCACATATGTATGTAGACACACATTGACTCATTCATTCAATAAGTGTTGGAACAGCTTCCCCATATCTCACTCTAATCTCTTCTCTGATTCTCTCACAGATCTTATCTGAAAAAGTTTGAGCTCTCTAAATCTGTCTGAAAGAAATATCTTTATTTTATTTTATTTTATTTAGTTTTATTTAGTTTGTCACTCAATTAGAATGTAATCTTGACAAGGATTTCATGATTTCCTTGGTACTCAGTGTCTAATAATCAGAACAGACCTGGGAACTTAATGAATATTTTCAATGTATTAAATTAAATATTTTCTAAATAACTCTTCTGCTTTAGTCGCTATGCTTAGGCTGAAACCAATTAGTGAAAACAATAGCAATATCTTTTCTGTATAGAACACCAATTATTTTTGTAAATCAAATTTTTTTTCCTCTGCACGAGAATAATAATAAACATACTGTGCAGAGATTTAATTAATCTCTTTCTGAAAAGACTGTGTATTATGCATTGTGTCTTGGAACTTAGGCATGGACTCAGCATTCATAGGTCCTGCCTGTTTTAAATTTCCTTTTCCTGATGGACCTTTCGTTTGGATTTATTTTCTAGTCTCATGTTGGGTCAAAAAAATCCTGGGGAGTTTTCTGTGTTCTAGGTCTTGTGGCTTGAGCTGACCTTCACTGTTTTTATTCTTCCTTGATAGCCTGCCTTACAGTTGGTGATAATGCACATTTATTGACAGTGAACTCAAAACACATGTACTGTTTCCACTAACAGGGTACCAGATAAGCAAATCCTATATAACTTTGCAGCTGGAGGAAGGAAAAGAGCTCTGGCGGGAAGGAAGAGAATTTCTCCAAGGCCAGAATCTGGGTAAGCAACAGGGTCCTGTGCTCTAATAGGAGGAGGTGCTTTGTCAATGAATAATATCAGTCAAATATTAATTAGCGGTTTTATGAAATGAGTGGTAATTTCTAAAATGTAGGTTAAGCTACTGGAGCAGAATTCCTTAGATGTTATTATCATTTTGTTCATATGTCAGATGCTACTCTTATGTCCTCTTGCCTTTTCTTTTACTTTCAGGAAAAGGATAATTCAGTACTTGTTGGGGTTAAACTGTCACATGCTGACTCTTTTCCCGATACCCCTGTGAAGACTATCCCTCTATTTACCTGCCTGATATCTCATGTCCATTTTAAATCTTTTCACATTTTAATTTTAAAACTCTTTTCTAATTGCTGACGCTGTACGATCTGTTTCTTCTTTTGAAGTATTTTCTTCATTTGACACATTTGCCACATCTAAGTGTCAATTTTTGAAAAAAAGTAAACAGGCCTTGGGGTTTTTCAAACAATTTTATTACCGTAATACCAAGGTAACAATTTATTTTTCAATTATTTCAGACAAGGAAAGTGCCCTTAAGAAAAAACACATGATATCCATGCATCCTATCAGAAAAGACGCATCCACCGGTATGACAATGGTGAGTTTTATAGCTGTGTACACCAGTCATCTAAGTTAGAGATCTGGTAATGGGTTAAGTTAGTAATGACGCACAGGCACCTGAGTGTAATTAGGCTGGCACTATCACTCAGCGTTCTCACCTTAGAAGACATGAGAAAACTCACACGGGAGAGAGACCGTAGAAGTGTCATCAGTGTGGGAAAGGCTTTATTCAATCCTTTAACCTTCGAAGACATAAGAGAACTCACCTTGGATAAAAGCGTTATGAATGTGATAAAAGTGGGAAAGTCTTTAGTCAAAGCTCTGGCTTTAGAGGACACACAAGAATTCACACTGAAGAGAAACCACATGCTTGTCTTCTATGTGGGAAAGCCTTCAGTGTATCTTCTGACCTTAGATGATATGAGAGAACATGCACTGGAGAAAAGCCATATGAATGCCATTTATGTGGGAAAGCCTTCAGTCAACGTACTAATCTTAAATAACATCAGAAAATTCACCCTGGAGAGAAACTTATAAATGTCTTCAGAACATATTCTGACTTTAGATGACATGGTGTTAGGAATGACGAATGTGAGGAATATGGAAGAGACTTCAGCTGCAGTTGTAACATCTAAAATGCCAAAGGACTCACATTTTGAAGAATTACTATACCCAACATGGACGTTACTTCAGTTGCCTTTATTCTTCAGTCCACATCAATAAATTCATATGGAAGAGAAATTGTACGACATGTGTGTACCAAAGACTTGTTAGTGATCTGATCATAAATGACACGGGAGAGCTGAAACTGTCAACATGATAAACTAAAAGTCTTCAGCAACAGTTTTAAAAACTTAAAACGTGTGGGACTTTCAGGTAGAGAATCTCTAGTTCTGTGTTCAGTGTGAAATGTTTTTATGTGCAATTTGTTGTCAAATAACCTAAGAAACTTTACTTGGATGAACCCTTTATTTGTATTTTCTGTGAATAAACATTCAGCCAAGCACTAGGCTTGATGTTCACAAGAAAACACAGTGATAAAATGCTGCTAAAATGGAAAATAAGAGAGGAAATTCTTTATAAGCTAAATAAGAAGGAAAAGTCTTTCCAAGGGCAATGGAATTCCCTTGGAATACCAAACACTTCTTACTGGAGAAGTTATGCCTTGAAAAATCATGAGAATTCCTTTCTTCACAGAGTAACGCTTGTGGCACATGTGAGATTTCACACTGGACAAAACACGGTTAGCATCTTGAAAGGAGAAGATTCTTTAGTGGTAATTCATTTCTTAGTTGACATTAAGTTTCTCACATCGAGGAGCTATCAAATTTGAAAATCACTGTGAAGAAACCTGATAGATTTCTCATCAGAAAAGTGAGTCAAGAAGGTGGACCTCTAGAAAAAACTCTTAACACATAGTTTAGCAAAATAATTAAGAAAATTTGAGAAAATGTCTATTCATAAAATGCAGCACATAAATGTATAATAACAAAGTGACCTGGGCATAAATTGAATGCAGAATTATATAAGAAATCTCATTAAACATTTCCAAAAGATCAATACTTACAAATATTGAAAGAATACAATCGGTTGTTGAAAAAACTTAGTGTGTTGGCGAAGTCCTTTTTCATTTATGCAGCCCTAACAAATCGATGTGCATCTGCACTCCTTGGCTTATGGGTCGAGATTCTACCCCAACTTCGAGTCTCCCCAGTCTTCAACAGCTCTTTCCTCACAGCTCACCTCCCTTTACTTCAATGTCCACTGAAACCACTTGCTTGCATCCAACCCTGGAACTGACACATCAGGGATCTTCAGCCCCACTCGCCAGATTTCTCAGTGTGTCATTGCATAGATTTAGCAAGGAATGGAGGCGGTATCGAAGACACCTAGTATATGCATTTGGTGTCCCCAGCCCTTGCCTCTGTCTCTGAGTAGTTACCTGGGATCAGAGAATAAGGCAGCCCTGCTCTTCTATCTCTCAGAAATCTCTTGAAATTTTGTCCCTGAAGCCTCTCTAAGTGGAGGTAGCAGTTCATCTCATGACACCCCAGAGTTTACTCAGGTAAGTCCTGAGTTATTACACAGAGACAGACACAGCTGTGTTCCTTTTACTTCTGTCCAGAAGATAAAACACCAGCATGATAAAGCAGGCGAACCTGTCAGCCGCCATGCAAGCCTTTCCTATATTTGATTCAACGTACTTTTCCAGAAGCAAAATGAAAGTTCTCACAGAGGGGGCTTCCTCTGCCTTGTCCTCAGAATTGGAAAATGTATTGTCCATCAGGGAGACTCAGTACTGAACCTAAAACTCAAAAAAACGTTTCCTGAATAACAAGTGGGATGATGACATGAAATTTTGCAAAACAGGCACAATCTTAACACGATAGCCTTACTAAGGCTAAATGGCCTTATCCATGGTTGAAATTGACACGTCATTATATAAAAATCTCCACAAGTGATTGATTTTACTCTGCAGCCAGGGTTTAATGTCAAGTGTGAGGATGGTATCTTGCATTGTCGCTTGGGTGGGGTGCAGTGGCAAGATCTTGGCTCACTGCAACCTCCACCTCCCGGGTTCAGCAATTCTCTTGCCTCAGCCTCCCGAGTAACTGGGATTGCAGGTGCCTGCCACCAGGCTCAGCTAATTTTGTGTTTGTGGTAGAGACAGTTTTTCACCATGTTAGCCAGGCTGCTCTGGAATCCCTGACTCATGATCCACCCACCTTGGCCTCCCAAAGTGCTGGGATTACAGGCATGAGCCACCGTGCCAGGCCTAAAACCCCGGTTTACTAAAAATACAAAAATTAGCTGGGTGTGGTGGTGGGGTCCTATAATCCCAGTAACTCGGGAGGCTGACCACAGGAGAATCACTTGAACCCGGGAGCCAGAGGTTGCAGTAAGCAGAGACGGTGCCACTGCACTCCAGCCGGCTACAGAGCAAGACAGTGTCTCCAAAAAAACAAAAAACAACACCAAAAAACCCCTCAGATATCCAGATAAGAGGATACAGATGTGTCCACGGTCATAAATTCTTCACCATGCTACAAGAGGGGAACTGACATTTTGGTGAATCTTTGTAAATCATCAATTTATCTATACACTTTTATTTCACCAGTAGCATTGACAAAGCTAAGTCCTACAATCCATTTGAAATACCCTTGAAAAAACAGACCTTTAAAACTTACTACACTCACTCAGGGGAAGGAATAAATATGAATTTTTAGCAAATAAAATACGTCATTTTACCTTGCTACTTTGGAAATAGTACCTTTATCTTTCAAGCTGTACTGACAAAAATGTATCTTATAGTCAATGATAAACTGAAACTCAAATAAGAGGACAAGCCTTATCAAGGTAACAAACTCAGGCAGAGGCAGTGCTGACTCCAACACAGACCTTTCTAAGTGTCACGGCAGGCCATTCTATTCCTCAGGACACCCAACCTGTTCAGTAAAGCACTCAGTGACCACCTAGGAGGCACTGGCACTGTTCTTGTCCGCCTGTGTGCCTTCAGGCATTTTCATATTCAGGTTCTTGCACATCCTCTCTGGGGTGGGTTTTCCTCATCCTTTGGGACAATTTTTCTCTCTTCGCAAGTCTGAGACAATCTAGACAGCAGAAATCATTTCTGCCTTTTCCTCTCAATATCAGCATCCCATTTGCAGATCGTCAATGTGTCTCCGAGGAATAAAAGCTCTGGCTGGAGGAACAGTTTTAATGACTTAGCTTTAATGACATTACGTTGTATTGTCCATTCATTTTAATGTCCTAAAATTTTAATAACCCTAAGGGGTCACCATTTAGATGAAACTATACCAGGAGATTCCTCTAAGGCCAAGAGCATCCAGCTGCTCCCCTGAGAGACTCTACCCCTACCTCAGGCTGTCCTTGGGGATGAGATGACCCCGGGCTGATACTCACTAGACCCTCCAATAGACATGGCCACTGTGGGTATCCTGGGTCATCCCAGACGGTTCTAAATGCCAGGACTAGGAAAAGACAGGAGGGTGGCTGAGGACACAATACCCTGTAAAGTTTTCAAGGGGGACCTCAACCTAAAGACATTTTGGTCATATGTACACTTAGGAAAGATGAAAAGAAGAGAGGCACAAAGATTTTTTTACAGTAGAGTGTCAGATGATTTATTCTCCGCTTTCCTCTCATGTAAAAATGTTTGGAAACAGAAAAATATTTTGGTCAAGGTGGTTCACACCTGTATTCCCAGCGCTTTAGGAGCCGAGGTGGGTGATCAGTAAAGGTCAGGAGTTCAAAACCAACCTAACCAACATGGCAAAACCCTGTCTCTACTAAAAATACAAAAATTAGCTGGACGTGGTGGTGGGCGCTTATAAGCCCAGCTACTTGGGAGGCTGAGGCAGGAGAATCGCTTGAACCCGGGAGTCAGAGGTTGCAGTGAGCTGAGACTACGCCATTGCACTCCAGCCTGGCAACAGGGCGAGACTCTGTCTCAACAACAACAACAACAACAACATAAATAATATATATATATATAACTATACATTTAAAATTACTACATGTAGATAGTATTTGAAGTCATGGGACTGACTGTAGGTAGAAACAAGAGAAGGCTAGGAAAGTTTTTATATTTATATTATATAAATTATATAAAATTAATATACATAATTAATATACATAAATATATCATATAGGCTGTGCACAGTGGCTTACACCTGTAATCCCAGCAATTTGGGAGGCTGAGGTGGGCAGATCAGCTGAGGTTAGGAGTTCGAGACTAGCCTGACCAACATGGAGAAATCTCATCTCTACTAAAGACGCAAAAATTAGCCAGGCGTGGTGGTGCGTGTCTGTAATCCAGCTACTCAGGAGACTGAAGCAGGAAAATCACTTGAACCCAGGAGGCGGAGGTTGCGGTGAGCCCAGATTGTGTCATTGCACTCCAGCCTGGGTGACAAGGGTTAAACTCTATCTCAAAATAAATAAATAAATAAATAAAACAAGAAATATATATTTATATCTAAATATATAGTTATAATACATAAATGTGTTATACATACATTTATTATAAATTATTAATATATGAAATATATTTATTTCTGAGACGGGGTCTGGCTCTGTCACCCAGGCTGGAGTGCAGTGAACTACCATAGCTCATTGGAGCCTTGAACAGATGGCTCAAGCGATCCTCCCACCTCAGCCTCCTGAGTGGCTAGGATTGCATGCACACACCACCATGCCTAGCTAATTTTAAAATTTTTTGTAGAGACAGGATCTTCCTTTTTGCCTAAGCTGGTCTTGAATTCCTGGGCTCAAGTGATCTTCCTGCCTCAGGCTTCCAATGTGTTAGACGTGGGCCACTGCATCTAGTCTAATGCATTTTTTAATTTGTGAGTTTATATTATTTAATATTTTTAAGTACTGAATGTGTTGAACAACCAACTTTCAGAATTCCCGAACCATGGACGGTCAGCTGTCATGTCCTGGTTCAAATCATCCCAGCACACCAAGACTAGAAACCTTTCAGCCAACTTCCACTTATGTCTCCCGGGGCAGGACAATGTCACTTGGCCAATCCCCACTAAGAGGGACTCTGGAAAGGCAAGAAACTATTCTGTTCTCTATAATGGAACGT